GTAGCAGTAGCAGTAGCAGTAGCAGTAGCAGTAGCAGTAGCAGTAGCAGTAGCAGTAGCAGTAGTAGTAGTAGTAGTAGCGGTAGTAGTGGTAGTGGTAGTGGTAGTGGTGGTAGTGGTAGTAGTATTGGTAGTAGTAATGGTTACAGGGGTCATTTGTTCCTTAAGCAATCTTCCTGGTGATCTTTTTTCGATAAGGCGCAAAACCAAAAGGCGCCAGAGACTGCAGTGTAGAAATATGATTCCTGCTTGCTCTTTTTAGCTGTGATGAACTTTTCTCTTTAAACCGTAAAGCCAAAAAACACCAGCCCAAATCTGACCTAAATGGCTTGGTTGGTCATTGGCTGGCTTCCTGGTCCTCAGAAGAGGGCATGGAGGAGCCAGCAAGGGGAATCGCTCCTTCTGTCTATGGTTTGGAAGTGTCTCGACCCTCAGCCAGTGAGCAGAGGACACTGAAGAGCCAGACCACCAACCAGGCAATGCCTCAGATATCAGAGGACAGAGGAAGCCTGCGACAATGCTGACTGACAGCTTGCGCCAGAAGACACCAGCAGCGTCGCCACTCCTCTATGTCCTCTGCTGACTGAGTGAAGATTCAAGCGTTGCCCCTGTTGCCAGAGTCTCCATTGTCTAACAGGTCCTGCTGCTCCCTCTATGTGCTTGGAGAGCAGAAGACACCAGCAATTGTCTAACAGGTTCTGCTGGTCCCCCTATGTGCTCTGGAGAGTGAGTGAGGATGAGGCGCCTCCAAGCATTGCTTCTGTTGCCAGAAGACACCGGCACTGTCTCCATTGCTTCTGCGCTTAGTTTGCTCGCTGGTGGTCTTGCTGGCCCCTCCACGTCCTCTGCTCACTGGCTGAGGGTCAAGACACTTCCAAAGGTTAGACCCGGATTCGGAAACTAATCGGTCGGATTCTGAAACTAGGGTTCTGAAACTGGTGTTCTGAAACTAGGGTTCTGAAACTTAGAGTTTGAAACTGGTCTTCTGAAACTGGTGTTCTGAAACTATGATTCTGAAACTGGTGTTCTGAAACTACCATTCTGAAACTGGGATTCTGAAACTTGTATTCTGAAACTGGAAATGTCAGATTATGCAACTGGTATTCTGAAACTGGAAAGTCAGATTCTGCAACTTGCCTTCTAAACTTGCCACTGGTGATCTCCACATCACGCGATAGCGTGTGTGCCTGTGACATCACCTTCGAAGCACATCCAAACCAACGTCATTAGCCCCCTGCCCAACCCCCCCTTGTCCCCATCGTGTGATCGCGACATCACGCCGACCCCCTCATCATTCAAGGGATTCCACAATGTTGCGGAATCCTAGTTGCGGAACGCCGGCGTTGCGGGACCAGTTGCAGAATCCTAGTTGCGGAGTCCTGACAGTTGCGGAATCCTAGTTTCGGAATCCTAGTTGCGGAATCCCAGTTGCGGAGCCCTAGTTTCGGAATCCTAGTTGCGGAATCCCAGTTGCGGAGTCCGACCAAACAGTTGCTTGACCCTAGTTGCGGAATCCTGCGCAGTTGCGGAACTCGACTTTATCCCATTTCCAAGCCATGCCTGTGCTGCCAGAAGACAGAAGGAGCGATTTCATTGTTCTAGCAGTCTTTCTGGCACCGCCATGTCCTCCGCTAAGGACCAACAAGCCAGCCAACAACCAACCAAGCCATTTAGCTTAGATTGCTCAGTTTGTGCTGGTTGGTGCTTTTTGGTTTTGTGGTTAAGAAAAATTGCCCACAGCTGGAAAGAGCAAGCGGGTTTCATATTTCTACACTGCAGTCAAGAGTCCATTTAGCGCAGTGGGCAGAGCCTGGCTTCAGATCCAAGAGGTCCCGGACCCAATGCCTCCTCTGGCGCTCTTTGGTTTTGTGGCTTCAGGGGCAAAATATCACCAGGGAGACGGCGTAAGGAACAATCCTGGTACTATTGTGGATCGCCTCTCTATTGTGGATCCTTGGCACTCATAAGGGGTGCCCTTTGCAAGACTGTTGACGTAAAGCTTCTTTGCGAAGGGTGTACTTAGAAAGCGATAGTTTTTGAAATTGGAAGATTTTGGATTTTCTTGTATTGTGCTTTCTTGTGTTACAAAAGAAATGTAAAGGAAAGCATTCTCGAGCAAGCCAGGAGCCACAATAGAGAGAGGTGCTAAAATTATGCGTCACCTCTCTATTGTGGACCCTTGGCACTCACTAGGG